TATCCCATCCCCTAGTCTCTGCTATCTGTCTCTGATGTGTCAAGTATAACTATGCTTATATATGGCCTGACTACCAACCAGCCTTCCGTGTCTTATGTACCAGCACTCTGCTAAGCAACTCAGTTTATACGGTCTGACTACCAGCTTTCCGTTCTTGATGTTTCAGCAATCTCTCATGTGTCAACTGTCAAATATTACTACTCATTCTTTATGGCATTCTTAGGCCCCTCCCCGGGAGATCTGAAATATATACAGAATTCAGTTTCTGCGCCAGGATGAACAGCAGAACATGACGGAATAGCAAATAATACTAATAACGATAATAATATGTTTTTAGATTAAAATTGAGGAGAATTTCTCATGTGCCAAATCTCATGATAGAATGACATTTGTGAAGGTCTGGATAAGGAAAAAAATCGATGCCCTAAAAAGATTAGTTTTGAAAGTATTTGTTTTCTTACCAAACATCCATGAATGTCATGTCATCACGGAAAATTGCACGCAGATGGAAAGCTATGCAATGTTTGTTGTAAAGAAAAAATTAGGTATGTTTTGATTTTCATTGTATTCTTCAAAATTTACTGTTGTACCATGTGCATGTGAGCTTGCTACTCGAAGTACACTTTGATTTTACTGGGCACTATAATGCGTTCGTACCTGTTCCTGGTTGTAAATTTGTTTTTGGTTGTTGTGTTTTGGTCACGGAAATGAGAAGAGCCTGTTCGGAACCTCTCCATTCTAAAAACCTGCTCTGCGCTGTAGAGGAAATGAGCAGCTCGGCTTAAGCCGTTCCCTGAAAATGTGTTGCCGCTCCCTTCACTCCGGGAACCGCAGTTGTGGAGCGGAGAGGATCCGAACAGGTCTTAAGTGTGAAAACAAAGAAAATTTGCACAGCATCTGTCGCTGCCATTAGGGCATGGGCCACCCAATGCAGCACAACTGCTGCAGCAGAGCTTCAATACTTCGTGGTATGCCGTTTCCCCCCTTTGCAAGCATGTTCATAGTTACCCCGCAAAAAAAAAAGCATGTTCATAGTTCTCCTTTTACGGGAATAAGATAATATTTCATCAAATGACAGATCGTTTACAATCAAAGATGAGATGAAATCAGGAGCAGAGTTGTCCCAAAAGCACGAAGATTTAGATGTATAACACTCCTCCGCCAAACAATTTGCAACTTCATTTGCTTCCTTTTTGCACCAGCAGAATTTAACCATGTCAAAGCTTTTGAAATATGGAAACACTCAATGATTGCGGCGACATTGGGGCCATAATAGTTCTCAGTCTGTAGCATCAATAACCAGGAAAGAATTGGATTTCGCCATCAGTTTGTTACATCCCAGCTGCTTTGCCAAAAGAAGACCATTATGAAGAGCAAGCGTTTCAGCGGCTTCCGCATCTGGTACGTGTGGTATGAACCACGTTGTTGCGGCAATGAAGTGACCCCCTTCTCACCGCGAGGGCGTGAACCTGGGTAAATCGTTCTCTAGTGTGTATCCGATCTGATTCTCTATGGTGCCGACCCACGATTATAATTCGTCGGTATGCAAGTCAGCGGATTGCAAGAATTTATACCACCTCAAAGCCTTAAGCTGTGTCCATGGGAAGACCCTTAATCATCATCCGGCAGGAGAAATGATGGTGGTGGCATGCGTGATACAAAGCTACAACAGTATATGTGTATTTTTATTTGGATCTGCCCACACATAAAAACATATAAAGTGGATTAGTTATCTGAACGTATGCACTTATGTACGTATCTTATTTGGATCCGCCCACAGGTAAAAACATACAAAGTGGATCAATTATCTGAACGTATCTGAACCTAGAATTGTGCACCTATGTAATTAGGTAACATACACACTAACGAGCGAATCCGGACTTCCTGAAAACATTTTAGCTCTACGGTAGTTTCCACCACTCTCATTTACTCTCTTAGTTCTCTATTTCTATTCTAGCGCACTTTGATTTTCGTCACAACACTCTTGCAATATTTTCACTTCCGCATCGCTTTTGCTTGGGACCACAATTAACTTGCAGGCACTTAGCGATAAATTTTGGAGAGGCATAGACCATTTTCTAAGCTATTCGTGGGATTGATATCCTTACTCCGAAAATGCCACAACTCAATCCTCTGCACAAAGCATGACATCATTTCAAGACATGACCACCAATACACAATTCTCTCATGACCATATCGAGTTTCTCCACTAATAACATATTGGTCATCGCTTGCTCTTTTTCATGCTCCATCACAATGTCTTGAGAGGCACAATGAATTCTTCATTTGAATTACTTGCTTGATGACTTGATCAACCATGAATCAACGTATGATGTCATCATAATATCATATTCAAGCCACTTATATAATTCTTCTCTTTAACTATTCTCTCAAGATCTTGATCCACCACGGCTAAAGTCATTAGCCTAAGCATGACAACCTCTGAGATCCTCCTATGGACTCCATTTAGATAACATCTTGTTCATCACATGGAATTTATCTTGATCATATTTCATTCAATCATTGAACTCAATCTTGATGCATATCTAGATTTTGATGGCATTCATTCCAAAACCATCCAATCTCCTTATTGCATCACCCATGGAACATATTTTCATGTATATAGCTTGATGACATTGTTGGTCCGTAGGAATTTTTACTCATTACCAAGTGTCAATGCATATATTTATGTTGATGGATTTCATCCTTCGATCCCTCCAATATTCTTCATGCATTGCATATGGATCTTTCCTACACATATACCCAATAAGAACACCGTCCACAAGGATTGTAATTAATTACCAAAACCACACATGAAGACTACATGCACTTTCACTTTGTGCTGGTTGTGGCGGTCCGCCCCTCATGTTGGGTCATCGACCTTGGCATCTCAGGTGGCACAGAGGAGGCTCTGAGCAAAAGCTCCACACTCCGGCATCGGTGACAATGGTATCTGTAGGTGTCGCTCCCCTCTCAGGAGCGTCGTTGTGGTCCCTCATCTCTGTGTCGGAGCTCTAGACGAAAATCCTTGTCCGTCTTTTCAGACTCAACATCGGCAACATGTTTGCGTCGTCACCCTCTTAGGGGCATTTGTCGTGGAGCTCAGGTACCTTCTGACCACAACAAGTCGATGTATTCAGGCATGCTTTGATCATGGTAGAAAACTCTTCGACTCTTTTTTGATAAAACATAAAAGATTTTGCGTTTCATTTCATTAAACATGAAGTAAATAGAGGTACAGGGTACAACCTCCCAGCAGAAGGGACACACACACCACCGTCCTCATTGAATGAGCAGGCGAGGAGGTGCCACCAACTACAGACAACAACAATGAAAGGTCTTGCCTTGTCCAACCTCCAACCATGAATGACGAGGCAGCTAGACTCAGAGCGTCAAAGCCACGTCACAACCATTGCCAGGCGCCTCCAAAGAAGACCACATTTATAGGGCTGCTCGGGCCAACGTACCTTCCACCCATGTGCCTAGGAGTACCTTCCACCCATGTGACCAGGAGAATCGGCAGGCGGATGGCAAGACCCGGACGGAACTAAGCAAAGCCATCCCATGGCGGTGTTCTCGCTTCTCACTCAATTGTTGTTTGTATTTTGACATCCTTTTAGAGTGGTTTCCTTATCGCCTTGTATTGGATCGGTCGTTTGAGCTTTATTTATAAAGCGAGACAAAAGACTGATTCAAGAAATTCAGTGGAATTAGGTCGTTAAAAAGAATTATGATCCTGGAAACCATGATGTATCCTCTACACCTAATTGCTTCTTAATTTCGATTTTATCTTGGTGGATTTTGAAAACATACATGAGTGTTATCCTTTGTGTTTATTGGTAAAAAAAACACATTAGATATATCTGATTTTAGTTGAGTAAATGAGTAGAGTACAAGTAAATTCAAACACGAAGCAAAAGCTTTGACGTTTCATTAATTTCCAGAACACCGTAAGCACCACTCTGCATGGTGTGCCGCTGAATGACCCAACAAATGCCAACCACACAAACACACACTAGCTGGAGGGACTCTCTCTGCCGAACAAGCCGCTCTTCCATCACTCGCGGGAAAGAAGTCATGGGGCACTCTCCTGCAGTGATGAAGAGACAATCATTCCACACGCCTGTGTTAGTTGCAACCCACACGACACGAAGTCCATGTCGTCGAAGCTGCAAAGCTCTCGCGGCCGCCACCCTGACATCAATTGCTCCAACACGCCTTGCGCATTCAACTTGTATCGCTTCTGGGGTTGTCGCCCGACATGCCACTGCAGAGACGTGCGTTGCACGTGCATGCTTACTAGTAAATAATAAAGTGTCGAGAGGGTGATTCTCAAATAAATAAAATACATGCCATCAGGATGGCAACTTTTTTTTCATTTGCAAAAAAAAAAACTAAAGAAATCCCCTGCAAAAAAAAAACTAAA